GTAAACTGTGTTAACAAAATTCTTCGCACACTCTCCATCACTATGTGATGAGGTGCGAAAAGATACATGAATTTAGAGACAGGTCTATAAAGATATTCCAGAAATATTCAAGGGATTGAATTCAAAATGAAATAACAGCAATGTTTAGCCAAATATTCCCAGTTTACAAACTGTAGACAGTTTATGTAGGTGACTGTAACCTTCCCCTTGCAGCCCGCCACACGATACCGGTGGAATGGTAAGCAAAACAAGTTATGAAACCAGCTCATCACATGTGTAAGCTGCTTAGCTTAGAGATTCTACTTGTGGTCTTTCTCGAACCCATTATTAATATTAACCTGAAATCCCCCATCTCCTTAGTGGCCTTGAATGGAACAGGAAGCCAGCAACTTGTCAAACGTCCGCCCATTGTTCTTAAGGATTTTTTTCCAACTGGATTTTGAACGGAGCCTCTGGAGAGAGATTTAGAAGATTTGTAGAGAGAAACCCAATATAACCTCATTACAAGAAGCCTTGCAAAAGTAGAGGGCAAGACTGATCAGCTAAATATTGAGGAAATGTTAGAACAATTGACAGGCAAAGTGGAGGGTCAAATCTTAGCATTTCCCAGGTAGGGAGGGTAGGCAAGCCACAGAGTCTTCGTGTGCATCACCATCACAAATCTTGAACACACAACATACCAAGAAATCCGCTAAACCTAAACAAACCTGGGAGGGTTTTTAAACATTTACATAATCTTTTAGGGGTGATCATACTTAAAATATCAGGCAACGTCATGTGGTAGTAAATATGAAAGTAACTTGTGTAGGATCCCAGGCCAGTGGTGACTGTTGATCCAGTGTACTGCAGTAAGATGACATCACCAGTGTTGCAAGACAGTTACACGCTGTTGCAACACAAGACTGTACCAATGGTTGGTTCTCGTTATCGAAAACAGGAAGGCTGGTATCTATCGAGGTCTCGCTAGGCCATCTCTGTACTAACCTCTCTCAGGATGTAACCCACAACAGTTTCCTAACACCCGTGTACCTATTTTACCGCAAGACAGATGCATCAGACTAAAGGAAACGTGCTAATGCATCTCTCACCTGTCGAGGGAATCTAATGTGGGACCTCTAGGTCGTGAACCTCCTGGTCAGGCCACTGCGCTACAGGTGGAGGCAGGGCGGTTACCTTACCTTGCAATGATTTCGGGGCTCAACGTCCCCGCGGCCCGGTCTTCGACCAGGCCTTCTCTGTCCAGGGACCAGAGGACAACACAAGACTTGCCACCCTGCATGAAGCGGATGCTCCACGATACTCTAGGGACTGTCCCACGACACTGGAATCTCTCGCACTTGTTCTTAATAAGTTTATATTACAATAATCGCATGTCTAATCAGAACTGCTTGGAGTCCCACCGGTGAATCATTGAGGAGACTCATGGCCCGTGTGTGAGTCAGTATTTACTCATCCTAATGAGACATGAGCAGTGCAGTTGTTTACAGCTCCTGACACTGTCTGGGAGAAGGCAGGTGCTGGAGTGCACAGTGACATAGCCACACTCACAGTGCCGAAGACAAAGTTCAGGCTGCAAATGAGAGAGAAACCCTATTATATAACCACCTCTGCTCTTCATCAACAATGCAGGCACGTTGTTTGAGATCTGTATTCTTGATCAGTCTGTTTCTTGATGGTTGTCTTTGGCCTCTAAGTTAGAGAGACATAGAGAGTGGTGGTGCGGTGGTGATGTGTGGTGTTTGTGTGGTGTAGTGGTGAATTTGTTTTGTTCATTTATTATGCAGCCCATACTCATTGTGTGGGCGGTAATGGACCCACATACCCATTGTGTGGGCGGTAATGGACCCCACACCCATCTACTGTGTAATAGTGGACAAGGTTACAGAGGCACATAACGGGCACAGGGTCTGAACCCCAAAATGCATTTAGATAAGCAGGTTCTTGAGATGCAAGTTAAACGGTTCAATGTATATTAGTAGTCTCTTATAGCACAAGTGGTTGACAATACCACAAGTGGTCTTGTGGTGGTGTGATACTCGACATCAAGTTCATTTGCGTGATGATCAATGGGGCCATTGCTCGCGAGAATAGAAGGCTTGAAGTGTGTGCAGACTCCTATGGCCAGTGGTGCGATGTGGTGATTGTGGCGTCTTGTGCCCCGTCCTGGTGATTCAGTTGACCAGACCACACACTAGAAGGTGAAGGGACGACGACGTTTCGGTCCGTCCTGGACCATTCTCAAATGGTCCAGGATTGAGGATGGTGTCCCGAATTGGTAAATGGTGCTGTTTCTTGCATCCTTCCTGCTAATAAAGCGTGAGACGCCTACCCAGTGTGTGTGTCCAATATAGCAGATGTTGCTAAGTGCAGTCTCCAGAACCGCATTTATATTCATGTAATACAACACTTCAGCTTGTCAGTGGAGGCGAAGATGTTTTTGTTCATAATAAGGGGAGCCATACGTGGGTTGTTAGAGTAAATGATAGGACGATTCCGAGTTTTTCACTAAGTGACTTAAAATTCTTGTTAATTACATCAGGTAACACCCTTTTCATCCCTCTTATAGGATTGATTATGTGATTTTTTTTATAGAACACTACAATGTGATCTATACATAAACTGTGGCTAGTCGGCCTGCGGGTCGATTATTGAGAATATAGTGGTTACGAAGCTTCATATACTGGACGTACGTCGAAGTGGGTGTTACTGTAAGCGTTATTTGGTGGACGGGTTGACGGTGCTGCCAAGAGGAGCAGGCGCGCACTCGACGACCAGTATGTGCACTGATGACACTTCTTGTGTACCTGTCGGGCACACTCACTCTTAAACCTTTACCCTCATCAGTCGGTTTACGGTACACTCTGATAAATGTGATGAATATACTGTAGATATGTCGTTGATATATCGATAGTATTTACTGGGATGCAACTCATCCGTCTGAAGGTTAAACGAATTAACATGCGTCACAAATGCTTAGGCGAACAAAGTCCCAAATGGGATCACCCATTTCAATGGGGTCCCCCCATTGCCAGGGTGTCACGGGAGCTTGGATGGTGCGAGCCTTCGGCATGTCCCGCTGGAGTAGCCTTGGGTGTGGGCAGGTGTGGGTCCAACACGACCTTCGGACCTTCACACTGCAGTTCGGGTTTCTAATACCTTCTCTCTCTATCTCCATCCCTCCCGTCCCCCTCCCATTGAGAGGACGGGGGTGGGCCGCCCAGGAAGTGGCTTGCGAGGCACTGTCATCCGTCCTGACTTCGACTTTCGCTTTCTGTTCCTCTTTAAATTCTTGCACCATTCCGACACTGGTGTATGAGCGAGAGTGATGGGTGTAATGTGTGCCCGTCTCTCTGACTCAGCGGTGTCCATCTCTCCGTCGCTCGCGGTAGTGTTGCTGTCTGTGTACGCCAAGGTGTATTTTGCGGTGCCTGGGACTGTCTGCCTGTCTTACCGTTAACTTCCCCCCCCCCCTCTCTCTCTCTCTCTCTCTCTCTCTCTCTCTCTCTCTCTCTCTCTCTCTCTCTCTCTCTCTCTCTCTCTCTCTCTCTCTCTCTCTCTCTCTCTCTCTCTCTCTCTGTCTCTCTCTGTCTCTCTCTGTCTCTCTCTGTCTCTCTCTCTCTCTCTCTCTCTCTCTCTCTCTCTCTCTCTCTCTCTCTCTCTCTCTCTCTCTCTCTCTCTCTCTCTCTGTCTCTCTCTGTCTCTCTCTGTCTCTCTCTCTCTCTCTCTCTCTCTCTCTCTCTCTCTCTCTCTCTCTCTCTCTCTCTCTCTCTCTCTCTCTCTCTCTCTCTCTCTCTCTCTCTCTCTCTCTTATTCCCTCCTTCACCCTTCCTTTTTCTCTCCCTCTCTGCCCTATTCTCTCCCCCTCTCTCACCTCCCTTTCTCCCCCTTTCACGCCTCCCTCCCTCTACCACTATCCCTTTCTCTCACTCCCTCTCCTACAATATCATTAACAACACAGTAAGAACTCTTCACACGGCCAGTTCCTGAACACACAAACGATAAAGTCTAAGGAGAAACATTTTTTTTTGTTAAAAGACTAAATATTTTGATTAGATTTGTTACATTTTGGTGTGATCAATGCATACAGTTTCTGATAATTAAATAATAATTCAGAATCGAGTTGTATGCTATTTCGAGATTTTCGTGGCAGGGAATTTTCGTTAACGTAATGTGGTACTCGTTTTCTTTGGCGGCAGTCCCGATCCGTTCATGTTGGGCATGTACCCAACAACAATTACTGGGGAAATTTGGTTGGAGCTAGCCCCAAGCGTCTGGCCTCCAATCTCGAACAGTCACAGAAATTTCCAATTATAGATATACGTTGGAGGGGGGCGTCCCCTTACCACCACCTCGCTTTCAATCACTATCTCTTCCCTTCTCTCTCCCCTCTTCATCTCTCTTTATCTCCCTTCCTCTTTCATTCGCTCCTATCCTTCCTTTTCTTTCCATTATTTCCTTTTTACATTATTTTTATCAGCTGTTGCCCTCCGCAGACTAAATAGGTTCCTGTCGCCGTTATTAAAGAGGAGCTTAACTTATACTTGACATTTAACAAACTGTCAAGAATATAGGACTATAACACAATAATGTAGGACTATAACACAAGAATATAGGAATATAACAATAATATATGAAACTTCAAAAGGCCTATTGGCCCCATACGAAGCCGCTTGTATTAATATCCACCTTCAAACTTATAAGCGTCTAACCTACGCTTGAAATACTCCAGAGATCCAAAAGTCTATTGTGTTACCAGGTAATTTATGTCACAATTCAATAGTCCTGTTACTAAGACAGTTTAGCCAGGATTACTCCGAATCTAATCTTATCATATTTGTATCCAATGTTTGGTGTTAGTTCATTTAACACCTATTAAAGACGCCCTTTTATCCATATGAATACGTCAAGCATTCGCCTGGTCCAGCGCTCGTCTGGTCCAGAGCTCGTCTGGTCCAGCGGTCCTGCGCTAGTCATCAATCACCTATTCGTCGTTGACCTACCTGGGGCAGATGGTTGTCAGCGGAGGTCATCAACGGTGAGTGTTGGGTTGGGGCCGTAGAAGCGTCTCCGAACGAGCTGGTCTGGACGGATGTGTATGGGATAGGTCTGGATGGACAGGAAGCAGGTATGGGAATGGACAGATGGGCATGAACGGAGCGTAAGCTTGGACGGTTACGGCAATGGGCTAGGAGTAGGGAGGGAGGGTTATAGGTTAGAGGCCGTGAGAGATTAAGGCCAGGTCAGGAGCCTTGACCAGCGTAGCGATGATGTGAGTGTGGTGAAGGCTCTCCAGCACTAGCCCGGGTGTGGTGTGAGCGTGGCGGAGGCCTCCCCAACACTGGTTCGCAGCAGCAGTAGCGCTTAGAGATCGCATCCCAGCTGCTGCTGCTGCTGCTGCTGCTGCTCTAGTTTCAGGTCACACGCACACCGTCTCTCGCTACCCCCAAGGCGTCAGCTCTCCTCCTTCGATAACCTGACTCTAGGCTGACACTTGGCTAGTTTCTCAAGATTTCATGACCACGCAAAAGCAACTGGAAGCAATTTGATTTCGTTATTTGTTTTTCTAAAAGTTATTGGGGCTGGTTGTCATGTTTTTTGCATGTGCCTGGTGTACAGGACAGCCAGCAATGGTAAAACTACAAGTCCCAAGACAACGACAGCTTACAGGAACCTGAGGACACAGTTCGTCACCTCGACGACCACAGTACAGACACGGGAGACATCAAACACTTGCCATAAACTTACGTTATAGCGCAGGTCACATATCCTGGTTACCGTAAGTAGCCCATGCGCGTCGTTGTAAACTTTCCGGCGCCGTCCGCAGGCTGGACCCAGGCTGCAGGAATGGTAAGTTACATCACACGTAAGAAGCTCACTACAAAATATAAATTACCTAACATAGAGCAACATAACAACATACAACATAACATAAAAAATGTGGTGAAGTATTAACAACGGAAAATTATGATCCAGTTCTTGGGCCCCATTATGTAACAATGAAACCTTTATACCACCAACTGTGTAACTATTTTATTTAATCTGGTGTACTGGAAGACATCCTAACAATTTATCTTAAATTTGCTTGTCCATTTTAAAGAATGAAGAACAGTTTTATTTATATTATTATTGTTAAGCTGCATCTCTTACGAACCCATCCCTGCCTTTGTGTGGCAATACACAATAGAAAGTTGGATTTACATATTCGTACATTGAAACATTGATTGTAACCATGATACATATGTGCCTCAGCCTATAGTTTAGACCTAGTGTCTTGTGTATGACCCTCTGTCCTGTGTGACTGTGAATACCAGTATTATTCTCACTCTAATAAGATTTAATTGAATTCCTCAGATTAGGCAAAATTTTAATTAATTTTTTGTCAATAAAGATAATAATAATAATTTATACCACTCACAAACAAAATGGCATCAATGGGCATCATCCTCTTCTGTTAGTGTGATAAACACTGTTAATAAACTATTGACACATTAGTTTACAAACCATGTAACTGACTTATCAAGACTGTAACTTAGCGTACTGAATGTTTTGAATCAGTTCCCGAGCCCGTAATGTGCCTCTATGACCCCACTACTGCCCACAGGAGGGTATGGGGTCCCCTACCTCCCACGGGATGGGTATGGGGTCTCCTACCGCCCTCGGGATGGGTATGGGGTCCACTACTGCCCACGGGATGGGTATGGGGTCCACTACCACCCACGGGATGGGTATGGGGTCCACTACCACCCACGGGATGGATATGGGCTGCATCATGGAATGAACTAAACTCGCAAATCTATTGCTATTGTGCTCACGAAATGTTTTGCTGCTAATTTTGGATATTTACATAAAATATGGAATAATCTATCAGCATGATAGCATAAACACGCCTGAGGGGAATGGAAGCTCTATAGATGCATTTGTGTGGCGAGAACCGATGCTCTAAACACTACTAAACATTACTACACACTACTAAACACTCTAAACACACACAACGTATCACCCAGCCTCACGGCACGTATATTTTACAGTGCGCAAACTGCGTATTATTTTGTTTTTAATCAAAATGTGGCTTTTTACATTGTGTTGGGGACGACGAGGTGCTTGCTGGGTAGAACTGGCGCCGAGGAAGGAAGAGGGAGGAAAATACCTAGGTGGCATCCCTGCGCACCTGCCCAGGTGTTGCTCACACCTGTTGTGTTGATGATGCTGCAGGCGGCGCAGCTGCTGTTGTTGCTGTACTTGGAGGGCGGCTGTAGTTTGTGATGTATCAGATGTTGTTGATGCTGTAGTTTGTGATGTATCAGCATCACAAACTACAGTTAATATTGTAAATGTTAACACAGTTAATATTGTAAATGTTAACACAGTTAATATTGTATATGTTATTAATACAGTTAGTATTGTAAATGTTAATACAATTAATATTGTAAATGTTAATACAGTACAGTTAATGTTGTAAATGTTAATACCGTTAATGTTGTAATGTTAATACAGTACAGTTAATGTTGTAAATGTTAATACAGTACAGTTAATGTTGTAAATGTTAATACCGTTAATGTTGTAATGTTAATACAGTTAATATTGTAATAAACTTACAACATTAGCAGAACAAGGGCTATAACAAGCCGACTCAAGTACCTTAATTAATGGATCTGATGAATGACGGAGGAGTATTTTGCTGGTATCTTTAAACAGCAGAATATTTATAACAAATATTTATATAGTGTGTGATTACATTGTTAACTTTATATCTTCTATAATCGTATTGTAAAACGTTAACGATATTAAACGAAGCAAGAGAGCCTGGAACTAATGATCTGAAGTCACGTCCCAGCGCACTAAAGCTGTGAACTGCGCTAACAGAATAGTACATGTCTTAGATATATGTAAATTATTTTACAATATAACTAAAATTTCCTCGCTGTGTTATCAGTATGGCTTCTGATTCCTGTGAAAGTATCAGTTTTTCAATCAAGTTGTTTACAATAAAGTTAGCGTGCTTAAGTGCGAGTCTTAAGCTGGTACACTTAAGACATGGCCAGACAGGTGTATCGTGAACTTGAAGACAATTTGCAACCTTCTGAAGGATACGAAGTCATTTTTATATCCGTCATTACTGCTTAGACGAAGACTCAAAATCGTTAAAAGATGATTAAGATAGTTGACTCGCGTAGGCAAACGGGCCCATGCGAATCTTAAATAGTTCTTGTATAGTTATATGACGAGTACTTGACCAGTCGGAATTAGTTCGGGTCGTGGCTCGGGCTAGGACCCGAATATTCTCGTTCGGGCTCTTAGGGGGAAGAAGAGAAGGCAATGGGGTAACCCACTGGGAAGTCAAGTTGCCTCGTCACCAGGTTCTTGACTTACACAACACACGATGACAGGAATCCAGAATGAGAGTAAAAGCTGCCAAAATTGTGGTTGAGGCGAGAGGCGGGGTGATCATGAAGCCAGGCCACCAGGGAGGCCAACCCGTCCTCCTAACAGAACGTCGGATTTTTGACGTATACTCTACCTAAGGCCAAAAATTATCGTACTAGAAAATGGTTGCGGCTGGCGAAATTGACATACTGTCCCGTTTTCTGTTTTGGGTCCTCTGGTAGGTTAGGAGAGGGAGGCTTTAGTATGACAGTTTCTTTACGTTGGGAAACCTTAGGGAGACGCGAGCCAGAGTAACGCTTCAGACTTAACCCATAACACCAGCAAACTTAAGGATGATACTTAAGACCAAACACCAAGACTTTAAACCTTACCTTAAGACCTAAAACTATGTTCATAGGTTTGTGGCCTGCACCAGTTCCCACAGACACCAGAGTCTGCTTAAACACCAGTTAAAACTCCATTGATTAGTGAGCTGTAAGCTCACCTCACGAAGACCTTCAGGCGCCCCACATTAACAGCTGTCCACGATAGTCACTAAATTACTACGATATACTCAAGTGTATATCGTGTATACTCAACACTAGGGGCCTAACATGACTCTTGAGATTTGGGTCTCTGATACTGCATGGTGAGGACGGGCGTGACAAGTCAGAGACAACTTCACTCCCTACCTAGTCACTCAACACAAATGAAGTGATGTGATCAACGAGTGTCTTTGCCCGAAACGCTATGCGTACTAGTGGCTTTAGGTATTGTATGTACTAGCTCTATCTATAAATCAATCAGAATGTTTGTAACTCTGCACCTATGTATGTACTTTTCCTAATAATAATAATAATAATAATAATAATAATAATAATAATAATAATAATTATTATTATTATTATTATTATTATTATTATTATTAGTGACGTCGCTACAAGTCGCCTCACCGTACACACAACCTCTCTCTGGTACTTACCTTCAAATCAAATAAAAAACTAAACATTTTTCAGGAATGGTTATACAAGCATATAGTTAAACTAGTTTACACAAGCTTTCACTATATTATTTACATGATAAAAGGTTATAATAGTATCAATTAGCATAATTATTTGCTTTATAGTCTAGTTTTTTATTTAGATTTAAATACTTTACTTCTCAATGATATTTACAAATCATTATTGTAGTAGCTGAAGGGTCACTGTTATATATACAAAAAACTTAGCTTAAAATAAGAGTGGCGAGAGATATACTGGTAACAGCCAATAGTAAGCATCACTTTGTGACAGTAAAGCATCACTTTGTGACAGTAAAGCATCACTTTGTGACAGTAAAGCATCACTTTGTGACAGTAAAGCATCACTTTGTGACAGTAAGGCATCACTTTGTGACAGTAAAGCATCACTTTGTGACAGTATGCCATCACTTTGTGACAGAAAGGCATTGGTAACAGTGATTTTATTCTTTCCGCTAGACTCACTACACAATTATAAACATTTCTCATTCTTAACATGAGAACAATCAAGTTAAGTATGTTGATTGTTAAGATGATGTTCTCACCATCTTAACAATCAAGTTGATATTACAAGAAAGGTTTGAGTGGCCAGTGATAAGTGAGCAACTACTGTAAGCGATGATTGTGTTTGGTGCATCTTGACTCCCATCAGAGAAAATTATATTCGTTTGTGAATTATCTATTCAAGTGGACGTGAGGCCAGGCAAGAGATGACGGTGAGTGCGTGGATGGACTCACAAGATAACGTCTTGAACCTTTCCTCCATACATAATTAAGCTTACCAAGGTTAACATTTCAGAGGCCCCCCCATAGTTAACATCCATGCAAGCTATGACTGTTATATAATTTTCCTTTCGACCAGGTATCAAGATGACCAAGTTCACCCATAATGACGTTTGTTCTGACTTTGGGATATTAGAATAATTTACGCGGGGGCTTTCAAGATATATGA